CACACACACACACACACACACACACACACACACACACACACACGTTCTATCCCATTTCAATAGTACACTTTTTTGTGAGAAAGTATACAAAACTTGGGTCATGTTTACATTGGTGGTAAATGAAGGTACACCAATGGAATGTGACATCTTTGACACGGATAACAGTAGTTGATGAATTAAGTACCAAAGTTGCAATCTGATGTTTTCTGTGCGGGAGTGGAAATAAAAAGTATCAGGAAAAAAGTGAGGGAGAGGTGTGGGAACTTGCAAGGCTCGAGAGATGCTGCTGGCTTTGTGAGGGTAAAATGGTGGCTATAGCTGAGAAGGGAGGGTGAAGACGGAAGGTAACACTGCTGCACAGAGCACAGGTAATGAGTTGTCAATTGGTAAAAATAGCTATAACCTAATCTGACTTCTGTAATCTGCCAGAAGAGCGAAAACTTATTTGGAGTGAAGAAAAATGAAAAGGTAGAAAAAGTTAAGCTGAGACCAAAAGATCTGCTAGCATCTTTCTCAAGACATTAAGCAAAAACGGACTAGTGAGCCCTTGAGTAGCTGTTCCATGAGTCTCAGCCCTTTTCAGCTGCTCATGGCTTACATGGGTTTTCCTCTGCGTGTAAAGGAAAGAGGTTTTGGCTTTCATTTTTAGTGCTGGAGCAATTATACTAGAAGTATAGCGCCTACACCTTCTTCCCAAATCTGTCCACCTTCACCACACACACTGCTCGCCTATTAGTGCTCATGTCCTGTTGGGGAAGACTTTAATCATCATGGTCTACCCCAATGTCTACCCTTGTATGTAAGCAATTTTTACCTACCTCTCTTCTTCCCAATCCATAACCATGTGCCCCCCACTCTTTCATTCCCACTTGTCCTTGATCCCCAGCACTTCATGTCCTCTGCCTTCTATCTCTTCCCTCCCTCGTAATCTACTATTCTGCTTTTACAAATGTAACAAGCTCGACTGTCGCTTCTCTCTACCTTGGGTCATCTTTCTTCTTTGTGCTCCCCTAGTCCACAACCAGTTTCCATTCTGCCTCCTCATTTTCCCCCCTTCCCCGTATACAGCCTCCATTTTGTCTCTTCTTCGCTCATGATCCAAGATCAGCTCATACTCTGCCTCTTTTTCCAATGATCTATGATTATAAAAAAAACCCACAAGATCCCCAAGTTTGTGGTTTTTTATTTTCTTGATAGTGGTAGAAGATTAGGTTTAGGTGTCTGAGGTGGGCTTATGAGAAACTCTAGGTGAAGACACATGTCAGACATGTTGGCTTGTTACTATGCCAAGTGTCTTTTGTCCGCTTCTGCTCTTAGTTTTCTTTAGTGTAAGGCATGCCAGACTTGCAACTTTGTTTTTGTTACCCCCTAGGGGAGTTGTACCTTTCAGTCAGAGGAAGAAAATGCTTGAGAAAGCACGGGCGAAAAATAAAAAACCCAAATCCAGTGCTGGAATTTCTTCAATGCCAAATATCACGGTTGGTACCCAGGTGAGAACCTTTTTTTCCTAAGTGTTTTATGTAATGGTTATGTTAGTCAGTAATAATAATTGTGTACTGCTAATTGTTTAAATCTGTGCACAATAACACACGTAGGCAGTCTTGGGCTTGCCTGCTGGCTGAAATAGGATATTTGTATGCACAGACTGCAGGAAATATGTAACGGATATTTTGCGGATAGAAGGAAAATGGGCACTTGACTGAAACAAATACATTAGGTGTGTGAATAGGCTTCAGGAATTCAGTATTTGCATTATTTAGCTAGGATCAAGAACACTGGATAGGACTTCAATCCTAACTGGAGGAATGTTCAAAACCAACCTTGGAAATATTTTTTTCTGCAAGAGTTGTAGCTTGGTTTCAGCAGAGGTTGCTAGTCATTAACACGGAATGAATGTAAACATGCTTGGGACAAACAGATCTGTAATTGGGTTGCTAAAAGGGCAAATGAGAGTTACCGGTATATGTCTCCATTTGTGGAGGCCTATCCCTAATATCGTGTGTATTTGGCAGGTTTGCCTGAGAAATAACCCGTTGTATCATGCCGGAGCCGTGGCATTTTCTATCAGCGCTGGCATCCCAAAAGTTGGTGTTCTAATGGAGTCGGTGTGGAATATGAATGATAGCTGCCGGTTCCAGCTGAGGTCTCCGGAGAGTCTGAAAAACATGGAGAAGTCCAGCAAGACCACAGAAGTCAAGTAAGATCACTGATTTAAGTTTTGGAAATTTGCTTCGTGTCAGTGTTCTAAACAGCAGTTCATAACATTGTGAGCTTTAGAATGTTTCTTCAGTCATTAAAGAAAATTTGTGCCAAGAGAAGAAGCCTGCCATTGCTCATCCCTCTTTTAGGCAGTTGCTTACGTTCATGCTGATATAATTGCTTCAGTATTTTGTCAGTGACTTGAAACCGGTACGGAAATCAGACTTTACCTGCTGTAATGTTTATATTTGGTCAGTGACTCAGTATTATGTATACTACTTACAGCTGACCTCTATCCTAGAATCAGATTACCCATGGTATACTGTAAGATCATAAGCTCTAGTTGACTGCAGTAGAGCAGCAAGTTCTGTAAGTTCTTTGCAGAAATGGGATAATTTTAGTTTTTATGGCAGTAGGAGCTCTTATCGTTTCTGATTTGCCTTTTTGGGGGCACAATGGACCTATTGGAGAGAGCCCAGCATAAAAGGTTGTGGTGCAGATGTGGGTAGTTTTACTGTGCTTATCTGCATGGGGGGGAAAAACAAAACCTTCCTCGGTGTATGGGACAACAGAGCACTGCTAATGTTTGCTGTATGCCAAAAAGTCATTATGAGACAATGAAAGAAGCTGAAAATGGCTCCTCCTTTTATTGTTAGATATTGTCATATTTTCTGCCAAACCCCAAGGCCTGTTGAAAGATGCTTTTATTTATATAGTGCCAACAATTTATGCAGCGCTTTTACTTGGTGCACATTCACATCAGTCCCTGCCCTCAAGAAGCTTACCATCTAAGGGCTCTGTCTCGCATGCATACTGGGACAATTTAGAGTGGAACCAATTAACCTTCCAGCATGTCTTTGGAGTGTGGGAGGAAACTGGAATATGTGAAGGAAACCCATACAAGCACAGGGAGAGCACGCAAACTCCTTCCAGATAGTGTCCTGACTGGGATATGAACCAGGGAGCCTGAATGCTGCAAGGCAGAAGTGCTAACCACATGTATTTAAAGTATAAAAGGAACTTAGCTGCCATTGTCCTATAGACACTTCACATACCCCCATGGACTGCTTTTGTCTTTCTGTCAACTAGGTGACCATCATTTTTTAATATTTTTATTGCGGTTTCAGATGAACAAAAGTACAATAACTGATGAACGCATCAAACACGGTAGAGCATAACACCTGCAAGTTATAAAATATTCCAGAGGCTTAAGGAAGCACCTGATAAATGCAACGGTAGCTAGGCAATACAACAAGTCTTATAATGGCAAAAGATCTAAAACGCAATACGAGAGAAAGGGAGTAGGAAGGGGGAAGAGGGAAAGGAGGAGAAAAAGAAAAGGGGGCACATCCTAGGGGTTCAGGAAAATTCCTCATGCACATTACAAAAACACCACTTTTTAGGGAAGTCAGAAATGGAAAAACATTTGGGTGTCATAGTAGACAACAGATTAAATAACGGCTTGCAATGCCAGGCTGTGGCAAAACGAAGCGAGCGAGTACTGTCTTGTATTAAAAAGGGAATGTTCTGTAGAGACAAAGTGATAATTTTGCCACTTTATAGATCGTTGGTTCGGCCTCAACTGGAGCATGCGGTTCAGTTTTGGTTACTAATCCACAGAAAGGATGTGCTGGAGCTCAAGGAAGGGCAAAAAAACTAAGGGGCGGGAGGACCTAAGCTAGGAGTCAAGGTTGCTTAACTTAGGCTTGCTCACGCTTGAAGTGAGGTGGTTAAGAGGGGACATTATTTTGATGTACAAAATGTTCAGTGGAGATGGCAACATCAGCAATAAACCTTTTACTGTAAACTCCATAACAAAGACTAGAGGCCACCACGTAAAATTGGTGGAGAAAAGATTTAACCACAAAGGGTGCAGGGGCTTCTTTAGTTAGTGGTTCGATTTTGGAACTCTCTGCCATGAGCAGTGGTATCAGCTGAGAGTATTGAATCATTAAAAAAACAATTAGATATCGTCCTAAGACTGTAGCACATACAGACCCACAAAGGTTGAACTCTATGGACCTGTGTATTTATTCAACCTCAAATACTATGTAACCATTGAAAATTAGAGAGTCAATAGCTGACAATCGAAGTCAGGAGGCATATATCGTGAAATCCATGGATCTCAAACTTTATGAAATTTTGCACTCGAGCCAGGTTATTTAGCTGATAGTTTCTCCTGAGAAAGGGTCGCATGGACATGGGATTGTGACACAGTAATTTTGAACTGAGCTGGAAAAGAGAATTTTTTTTTTCCATTTTTTTACTTTCTGTATCCTGCATATAACCTGGCTGTAGAGGAATTGTGGAGTGTAGTATTTATTCAAAGTTGATATTTTTCCTTTTCTAAGGCCTGAAAGCAAACAAGAACCTGTAAAGACAGAAATGGGACCCCCTCCATCTCCAGCATCTACTTGTAGCGATGCTTCTTCCATTGCCAGCAGTGCTTCAATGCCTTACAGTAAGTCCATATTAGAGTGTTTGTATACACTTGCCTCATGTTTGATCTTTTTAATGTGCACTTGTTTGTAGCGTGTTTGCTGAAAATACAGTCCCTATCCACTTGAATTGCTCATCCCTATTGACTCTACTATCGAGCTATGTGTTGGGCTGTCAACTATTTGCTTCACATGTGCTTTAGGATACATTCAGTGCCTGAATGCCCCCAGTCTTCCTATCATAGCTTTTCAAATGCCATCATCCCCTTATCACTGAGCAGGCAGAATAAAACTGGCAATCTACTTGTAAAAAAAAACCCAGGGAAAACCCTTTTTAGTTTCCCATTGTTTAGAGGCAGTCATCTGCTAGTAAAATCAGTATTTTAATATGTACCACTTTTTTTAAATTTAATCTATTATGTATAATATAGTGTTTTTTTTTGTTTTTTTTTTATTGCTTGTTTTTTTAGAACGCAGGAGATCTACACCAGCTCCCAAGGAGGAAGAGAAGGTTAATGAAGAACAATGGTCCCTCAGGGAGGTGGTCTTCGTTGAGGATGTCAAAAATGTCCCTGTAGGCAAGGTTCGGATCTCCATATTTTTCTACACTTTTTTTTTTTTTTTTTAACCTACTATGTAGTTTAAATTTCAGCAACATCTTAATTTTAATCATGATGTATTAGTGGTGGGTAAAACAGTTGTCATGTTATTGCTCTTTAGGTACTGAAGGTGGATGGTGCCTATGTTGCTGTGAAGTTTCCTGGTACATCAAATAGTACCAGCAGCCAGTGCACTCCTGGATGTGATCCTGACCCATCTTCACTTTTGCAAGATTGTCGACTGCTAAGAATAGATGAACTTCAGGTAGGTGACTGTCCTGTTACCTCAAATTGCTTATTTGAGATTAAATTTGTATGCATGCCCTTTTCTACCCCTTCATTTGCATTGTGTTAATTCTAATGGTTTTCCTGAATGTCTGTGGTAAGTTGTTTCACATGTGGTTGGGTATTATATATTGATGAATGCCTGTGAAATTGTTGTAGGTGGTGAAGACGGGCGGAACACCCAAGGTCCCTGACTGTTTCCAGAGGACACCTAAAAAGTTGTGTATTCCTGAAAAAACTGAAATCCTGGCTGTGAACGTGGATTCCAAAGGTAATTTATAGCCAGACACAACTAAATTATTTATAATTGTTCTTATATGGTGCACAGACAGCAGACCCTTTGTGGTATAGGTTGATCGTCTCCCATTCCTACATCTGGCCAACAATTTCAGCTTTGTGTCCTAAGAGGTCAGACACATCCACTCTTTTCTGTAACTTTGTGTTTTTGTCAAAAAAATTGGCTTCTGTAAATGTGTATTGATATAGTTTAGCAGTTTGATAATGAGAACTATTTATAAAATGGGTGATTATTATAGAAAGAGGAAAACCATTGCTATTTACAGTATGTGACTACAGCAAAGGTCATACCTTCCTGGTACAGATCTTTCAGCCAAGATTTCCAAATGCTTGGTCAACACTAACAGCCTAGATATTAAAGGATGATTCACTCTCCCTTGGTGGCATTCATTGGCTGGTGTACTTTTGCATGGCTTTCCCACATTAGCTCAGTGCAAAAATGAGAGAACATGGGACCAGTCCTTTGTTCTTTAGCTGGAAGATTTCCGGATAAGAACTGAGAGACCGATAGACATGCTGTTGAAGCTGCCGGTTTGGAGCCTGCCGCCTTTGTTGCGTTGCTTTTGTGCATATAAGATGTTTGACTCTTGGTGAACACACTTGTTTCAAGTTAGGAACTTGCCAAGTCAAAGTATAAGTGATGGCCTTAGAGATTTCAACTTGGAAATGGTTGACAGTGGCAACCCCCATATTATGACCCCCTAAAGGGAGTTTTTGGGTTTTTTTTTAAATTAAAAATCTTCCCCAAACTTGTTTTCCTTAGTGTTTGAAGGGAACAAGAATGCCTGACTGTTGGGTTTTATTGCCATCTAAAGGATTATTTGGACACAAAAAAAGAGAATGCTAGCCTGTTCTAACCCCTCCTACTTCCAGGATGCCTTCATTTTTTTCCTGGTGATGGAACGTACTTCCTTAGACTTTTCTCTATCCCTTTTTTGCTAGCTATTCAGTGTTAACCAGTTGACATCCGCGGTGTTAAACCCCCTTCCCATCCAGGCCATTTTTCAGTATTCAGCGCTGCGGTACTTTGACTGACATTTGACTGCTTCTGTTGCAGGTGACATGTGATTATCCTGCTGTCTGCCTACAGTGACCTGGCCACCTCAGGCTGCTTGAACCTCTCCTATTCATGCATCCCCAGGGCCTAGCCCTGTACCCTCAGCTTCGTTGTCTCCCCCTTGCAGTGCAGCATTTCTTCTACACAAAACGGGTACTGGCTGCTCCTAATTCACAATAAACTAATCCACTGATTCCGTTGCTGCCTATAGTGTACCTCCTAATGGGCTATACACCGACAGTCTTAAATGTTGTCCTTTGCTTTAGTCTTTTACGGTAAGAACAAAATCTCTTTTTTTTTTTTCCTTAGTCCATAGAGTAGTGAAGGGTTTGTACATCTTTCAGAAGTTGTAACCCTTCTGCACCCTATCCAAAATGTAAAAAAAGGGTAGACTTCAGGTTTAATGCAGTATCTTTTATGTACATCCTTGGTAATGCTTGTTACCAAGCTACAGGGCAGTGTCATGATTGTCAGAAACTGTGCTTTGTGTTGGTCTCGAAGCTGTTCTATTTTACTGTTGTGTTTAGGGGTTCACGCTGTTTTGAAGACTGGAACATGGGTGCGCTACTGTATATTCGACCTTGCTACTGGGAAAGCTGAACAGGAGAACAATTTTCCAACCAGCAGCATTGCTTTTCTCGGTCAGAATGAGAGAAATGTGGCTATATTCACAGCAGGACAGGTCTGTATTTTACCTTTTTTTGAACCTTTTTTTATTTGCCAAGTCCTGGAATAATGGAATACATGCGGTTTTGTTTTAGGAGTCTCCAATTATTTTAAGAGATGGAAATGGAACAATTTATCCCATGGCAAAAGACTGCATGGGTGGAATTCGAGATCCTGATTGGCTGGACCTTCCTCCAATTAGCAGCCTTGGTATGGGAGTCCACTCCCTGGCTAATCTCCCAGCAAATTCAACCATCAAGAAGAAGGCTGCAATTATTATAATGGCTGTTGAGGTATGAATTGTTACATGCAAATGTTTTACTACTTTACTGTAGTCTTGGTTCTAAGCATGATTTCCAAATTTTAACACTAGTACGGGAAACTAGTAGTGTTTGGGTTTTCTATGCTCTCACCTTTTGACTTGTGCTTCCTATAGCACTGTTCTGTAACAAGCAAGCCTGGGCTTTTCTATTTTTTTCATGTTAATTATTTTTGTTTCTTCTGCTCTTTTAGAAACAAACTTTGATGCAGCACATTCTACGTTGTGATTATGAGGCCTGCAGGCAGTACCTAGTGAATCTGGAACAAGGGGTGGTTTTGGATCAAAACACCCAGATGCTGCAGACCTTCCTCAGCCACCGGTGTGATGGCAATCGTAACATCCTGCACGCCTGTGTGTCTGTGTGTTTTCCAACCAGCAACAAGGAGACTAAAGAGGAGAAGGGTATTTTTTTTTTTTTTTTTTATTTCAACTATGGAAAAAGATACAGAGCTCAAGTCAGTCTGCTCATATGTTAGTAATGCCATAGAGTTACATAGTGACTTTTTGTAGAGAGGTTACATATTGTTTAATTTGGAAAATCCTCTTTTGCCTTATTAAATGCAGTGAACATTTTGCTTTGGAGTGACACAGAACAGCTTCAGCAGTTAAAATGTCTGCAACCTTTGTGTGCACAGTAGATGTGCAGCCGGGGGAAGGAAATGAACTGTCTCACAATACCTAGATCCCTATGAATTGTATATCAATGTCACTATAATATGTATACGTGTTTGGCCTTTTGATTGCAAGTATAGGGTATGGGCAAAGAGGAATTAGATGAAGTTTGCCAACCTATATTGCAACATGTGCAAACCAGTCCCTGTTTTGTTATGGAATCTGCAGGAACTTTCTACATAAAGGCTGTATTGTGCTAGTTTAGAGAAGAAGCTATTGATGGCTACTATGATTTGGAAATAATGCATTTCTCTATCGTCCATTGGGGGACACAGCTCTGAAGAAATATGTAGGTTATGCTGCTGCCTCTAGGAGAAATGGGACCCTAAGCAAGCCAAAAAGTAAAAGCCTGCCACTTTAAGGACAACCCCACCCACCTGTCCTGCGGAGCATAGATGTCTCCTTTTGCTTTATTTTATTTCTTACGAGGGAACAATGGCTTCTAGTTGAATTATACCGGATAGAATTCAATTTTGGAGTTTTGCTAGCTAGCCAACTAGACTTGGATTCATACCAGCTATGTTGAATCCTAAAAGTTTCTCTAGTCCTCATACAATAGGACATTTCTCGTCTCAGTACTTATGATTCATCCTGCAATGGTCGAGAGTTCCCATTTTGCCATAATCGTTGGCCAGCGTTGTCTGGGGATTTCTGTTAAGTGGCAAAGGAAATGGAGCCATGGAATTGCATATTGATATATGTATATATTAGGCTTTTTTTTTTTCAATCTCCTTTTTATCATGGTGGCTGTGTAATGCTTAAGATTGTTGGAAAAAAAAAAAGATACGGGAAGTAATAGTGAACACTTACTATAGATGTGGCAAGGATCAGCATCATAAAACAGCTCCTTTTCTTTCCATCGTTGGAAACATTCCTTTCATACTTCCAAACAGGGTTTCCATTCCTAATCTCAAAAGGCATCCTGACAATTCCAAGTCTTTTGCACACTCTATACATGCTTGGCAATCCAAAACCTTCAGAAAAGTCCAATTTAGCATAAGTCTGCCCTCACTTTTTCCATTTCGGGTGGGGGACGACGACGACATCTGATTTGTGCATATGTGGGAAGCTCAAATTTCAGTTGATTGGGTCAAAGATGGGGTTTTCCCCGGTTACTAGATAGTTTTGTCATCTTCCTCCTACTTGGTTCTTTGCCTCTCGGCTACGTCTGACGGACTGCTTTTGTGCCGTTCAAGTCTGTTTGATCAGGGTGTTCCATTTCTGTTGGCAGAACATTTTTCCATTTTTTTTTCACTCTAACCGGTTTACAGTTCCCAAACCCAATTGAGACTTTTGTCCGAATTTGGATTTAAAAGATCTCAATGAGTTTTGGATATTTAGACAACCTTTTACTTTGGGAACAGTTTCTTCAGACTCTGGAGTTCAATGTCTCAATGGTACTGCGAACCTTAACCTCTTGCCGTCCGCCCGTAGTAAAAAAACGGACGGACGGCACTGCTGCATCTGCGGGTTGCCGTCTCCAGACGGCAATTTTTTCTGCTCGCGCGCGCCCCCTAGCGGGCACACACGGGCAGAAAAGACCCGTCAGGTGGATTGTGAACATCAGAACAATTTGCAGGATCAAGTTCTGTCACTTCGGTCCCCTTGCCAATCCGCTGAGAACTTGCATGAGCGTTTTGGGGTCTGAATTTAGCCACCTTCGAAGAGATTCCATTTGCTCAGTTCCATTCCAGGCCCTTACAGAGGAACATTCTTACAGCGTGGGACAAGTCTTCTCCATCACTGGAAAAGATGATCTGATTGAGTGCCCTGGCCAGTTGTCTGTCGTGGTGGTTGACTTCTATGTAAACAACAGGGAAAGTCTTTGCTACCCATAAAATGGGGGATTGTCTAGACCAATGCCAAACTTCTGGGATGGGGTGGTGTATTGGATCCTTTGTCTGTGCAAGGCTATTGATCTCTGGAGCAGTCCAAGCTTCTAATGTCCTGGAATTGAGGGCAATTTACTTGACGTTATGTTACTGGACCCTTCTCCTGACTGGTTGCCCGGTTTGGGGTCAGTTGGGAGAGAGCCACATTAGTGGCCTACATCAATCAGCAGGGGGGGCGGACTCCCCTAATTTCCTTATATACTGCTTGCTAAAGCTAGCTGTGTAAGGTGGGAGGGGTTGTCTCCTTAAAGTGGCAGGCTTTTAATACTTGTTTGCCTAGTGTCCTTTTCTTCTAGAGGCAGCAACATAACCGAAGTTTTGGATTTCGTCAGAGCGGTGTCTTAGGCCTGGTTCACACCTGGGCGTTTTGTAGCGCGTTTGAACGCTCTGCAAAACGCTCAAACACCGAAATCCCATTATTTCCTATGGGTATGGTTCACACCTGGGCTTATTACAGGCCGTATGAACGCGCTACAAAACGCCCTACGCCCAAAGTACAGGAGCTTCTTTGGGGCGTTTTTGTCGCGCGTTTCCATTGGAATACAGCCAAGTAGCCCTTGGAAACGCGCGTTTGTCGCATGGTTTTTTAACCGCGAATGGCGGTAAAAAATGCACGTCACCAAACGCGTGACAAACGAGTGTATTCGATACTCCTCCTAGGTGTGAACCCAGCCTTAAAAAAAGGTTTTATGGTAAGACTGTAGAATCCTATTTTTTTCCTTCTCCTGTCACAGAGCTAAAAATGAAGCAGGAGAGTCTGAGTGATTTTTAGCTCGGCAATTCTATAACTTAACCTATGCAGAGCCACAAAGACCTGTTAAGCAATCAGTGTGCCACCTCCTATCATGAATAGTGTAGACGTAGGCCCATTTTACATACTGCACACTATTTTAGTCATCTAAAACTAGTGAAGAATAAATGGTGCGGGGAGCCATGTTTCTAAAGAATGCAAATGATTGTTCTCTTTGTTTCAGAAGCAGAGCGCTCTGAGAGGAACACGTTTGCAGAGAGATTATCTGCTGTAGAAGCTATCGCTAATGCCATCTCTGTAGTGTCCAGCAATGGTCCTGGAAATCGAGCTGGATCCTCCAGTAGCCGAAGGTAAGACTGAATATTCTTTTTTTTTTTTTTCATATTAAATGTTTATTAAAGATTTTCAAAATATAACAAAAAACACACATACAATACAGTAAGCATACATTAAGACAATCACATTACATACGATATCCAAGGTAAAAGGGGGGACAAGAGACGTAGGGGTACAATATGCGCATTCAAGCATGTGGCAAAACAGTGCATAACAATACAGTGATGGAGCCCCTCAATGGAACTTGGCAATCATTTTACCGGAAGCATAGTGTATTAGGGTAAAATACAATCGCCAGTTTTAAGACTGAATATTCTAATGTAGTTCATGCTGCGCCTGATGGGCATATTTTTTAAATGTGTGCTTAGCGAATGCATATATGTAGATATCTGTTTAGATGTAAGCATGTTCTTTTGTGTCTACTTTGATCCTCCCCCTTTTTTTTTTTTTTTGCCCCATAAATTTTAGCAGTAAAGATAAGTGTGGCTCATGTGGACTTCAGTGTGAGGGTCTTGCCTTTCGCAAGGCACTCTAGCTAGAAACCATGAATTATTGGTGTGCAGGAAACAGCTGCAGCTATATGGCCCAACCTTTTTGTTACTGCTCAGTTTCCTGGTCATCTGCTTTTAATTCTCAAAGACTGTAACCAGAAATAGAGTACAGCATTAAAGTTCAGATATTTTCAAACTGGTTTTGTCATCTTGTATATATTCAGTAATTGTAATGGGAAAGTAGTCGATGTTTTTTTGTTTTTGAAGAACCCTTTACACCTCCCATAATCCCACTGTAATTTCCTTCAGTAATGTTGTGATCTCTTGCCAGCTTAAGACTGAGGGAGATGATGAGACGATCTCTACGTGCAGCTGGACTGGGAAGACATGAAGCTGGAGCTTCAAGTGATCACCAAGACCCAGTGTCTCCACCTATAGCTCCACCTAGCTGGGTACCAGACCCACCTGCTATGGATCCTGGTGAGTAAAATTGGCTAAATGGGTTTGAATGTGATCACAAGGTTTGATGTGAAAATGTTACTTGGTGCTGTGTGTAACTCCAGTGGTAAATGTACTTTACACAACTACTTTCCTGGCTTATATTTTTATGGATAAACCAAATAAATTACTTGCAGAGGTTCTGTTCCTAAGATCCTCTCCCTGGCACCAGTTGCTCGACTTTTTGCAAGCAGTGGCAGCTCCTGTGCTTGCCTTCCTTGCAGGTTGTAAGAAACTTTGAAGGCCTCTTTAATCTGACTTTAGTCCACCAGGTACTGTAAGCAGCAGCTGAATTGTCCCATTTGTGAAAGGGTACAGAAAATATTGGCATGATTTTTGCAATTTGCTCACACTGCTTTGATCAGAGGGAGGCTTTTGTTTTTTCTTTTTTTCAACACCCCTCTAGGGGGCAAAACTACTGCTATGCTTCGGAGGTAGTATACTGATTGAAATTTTCCACTGGAAATTTCACATATTTTCTGTGTGTTTTCCATATGTATGCACAATAGTCAAATGTGTTGCCTTTATTACTGAGCAGATTAAACACACAATGGTTGGTTCTGTGATCTTTGTTCTATTTCTGTTGTCGTATATCATTGTGTCTCCTACAAAACATGTGGGGAATACATCCAGGATTGTAAATGACTGATGTGTTGGTAAACATCATGCTGTTCTCTTTTCTAAAAGATGGTGATATAGATTTTATCCTGGCCCCTGCAGTAGGATCCCTAACCACAGCATCCACTGGCACAGGTCAAGGGCCTAGTACATCAACCATACCAGGTGAAACTGCTTTTCCTTTTCCTATAAGCTCTAAATCAAATCCCATAAAACATTCTTACGTTAATGCAGTTTAGCTTGGTGTACCTTTTTGCTGTTCTTTAATTACTGTTTTGTGTATAAAATCCTGACGACTTTTGCCCTGTTTTTACACTTTTATATGCTTTTATTGTAGGGCCTTCTTCAGAGCCTTCTGTAGTGGAGTCCAAGGATCGCAAAGCTAATGCTCACTTCATCCTTAAATTATTGTGTGATAGCATTGTTCTGCAGCCGTACCTCCGAGACCTCCTCTCTGCCAAGTATGTCCCTCATTAAAGGAAAATGTACGAATGACCTGGTGTGAGAGATTGATATGTCTTTTAGTGAGTGTGTGTTTGATAATGCCATCAGACATCTGACAGATGTTGAATGAAATTTTGTTTTGTTTTTAACTTTTATGATTTTGGAATGAATCGAGTTTCCTGAAAAACCACCAGACTTTGCCTGCTACCCTGAGCCTAAGTTGCTTTACCACTACATGGTTCCAACATGTTACAGGTGTCCCCAGCTCACACTCAACTAATGCTTGTGCGGTTTGTTCTGTTCCGTCTAAAGTACTGACATCTGTGACCTGGAATCCTGTTATCCAATGTCCTTTCTAGCTCTGCCAGGCCGGGCCGTGTCCCCTACCGTATCAACAGGGCTCTCTGCTACAGTCAGGCAAGACTTTTGTGAATCAATTCCTGGCTGGTGTTGACTACCGGGGCTTTAAGCATGCTCCTGTGCCTTCCCCTGCAGATTCTGTGGCTGATCTGCCCACGTCCATAGCGACTTCTAAGCCATCTGTCAGTGACCATTTCTGCCTCTGATTCAGAGTCGCTCTAAACTTTTCCTGATGAAAGTATCCTTGAGGAGTCAGTCTTCTGCTATCACTCCAAAATCAGTAGAGGGTTTAACTCTTATTGATACTGGTTTGCACTACTCTGGAACTGGTGAATCAGCCTGCTAGCTCCAGTCTTGGATCTTTCAGAGCCCCTGCAGTTGCGCCCGCTCTTTTTGGTCTTCCTTTATGGGGCTTGGAAACGCCCCAACATTCCCTTGACATCCCCCTTAATGCTTACTGGAAAATATTTTTTAAACCTATGCTCTACACCCACTATAGATTTGCCAATGGTCCAACTTAACGGGAAAATCGACTAGGACAATGGAAGACATTCCTGCAAACAAGGATTATGCCGATTTTAGCATTTGAATCCTTCTTTAAAACCTAGTTCTCGCTGCAGGCCCTTTACCCTATTTTGGCTGTGACTTGGTGAAACCAAGGCCGTATGGTAATTCCTTAGAGATCATTCCACTGCTTCAGTTATTCCTTCACTGATGGAGCGTGTGGAGCAGATAGCTGGAGACTTGAGCTTCAGCTGTGATAGCCTCCTTGAAGCGTCTTGGCTTGTCTCGCATATTGGTATTTTGTCAATACCCTTTGCCACTCTGGTTAACCACTTTGGTTAAAGTGCGGTTCTTTGAGAGACTATGTCACTTCAGATGGACCCTTGATAACATTATGAAGTATGTCACTAGAGGCAATAGCACCCACCCGCCTCAAGGTAACGAGACTAAGTGGAATATTCTTCCAGCTCTGGAATCGGGGAAGTCTTTCCTTCCCAACTTCTGGAAGATCCTGTTGGCAAAGGGGAATTTTCGTCTCCCAGTCTACATCCTGAAGTTTAAGGAGACCTGAATCCTTATAGATTGAAGGATCATCCCCATAGCAGGTCACTTGATCTGGATACAAGTGGACAATGCCATAGCACATAGGAGAAATGTGTGATCTTGCTGCATCGGTTGCCCACCTAGTCTACTGCTCTCGCATTTAGTTCTAAAAGGTGGCGGTTGTCGCCCCATCTGATACCAGCATCAGGCAATTATTTGAGCTGCAGGCAGTTCCCAGTTTTTGTTTGTCAGTGTCCAGTCCTTCTGTAGGGAGGCAGTATAACCTGAAGGTAAAAGACATACTGGGGGGAATTTATCAAAACCTGGAGAAGCGGTACATGGCAACCAATCAGCTTCTCTATTCGGTTTGTTTAAGATTTGAAAATGAAATAAGAGTCTGGTTGCCATGCACTACTGCTGCACTTTTGCCTGCTCCAGTTTTGATAAATCCCCTTCACTGTGTTCCTTAATAGACTTCAAGAACAGGATTTCACGCCGAAATACAATGATCTTATTTTTCCAGCAAAGACTTAACTGACTTCAGTGCTTTCATATCACTTTCATATAAAAGAAATAGCTTGACTCTGCACCCAAGGGCAAGTACACCGCATCAAAGTGAACATGAGCTGCTGTGCTGACACTGTAATATTTTATTTCCTTGCTGTCCAAAAGCGCCACTGAGCATGCCCTGCTTGGATTCTAACCTGTTGAGTGCGGGCTGTGTTAGCAGCTAGCATTTGTGTTTTAAATCCTTGTGGTGGAAATGTTAGGGACTATAGCCTGAATCAGTTTGATCAAGCAACAAAAGGAATAGAGAGAGCACAATAAGAAAATATTGTCTAAGAGGCATGTGTATTCTTGATTCATGGTGTTTTTGCCTTTTTGTTCAGGTTCTTCCTGTAGTACAGACTGATCACTGTTCTCCTTGTGCAGGGTGACTGGTCTTGTATCTGTCCCCTTTCCCCTTATTTGGGACATGCAATCCAGAAAGCAGGCTTCTCTATGCTTAACCATTTTTGTTAGGACAGTGTTCAAATTGAGTTCACAACTGGTAATGAGATCTGCCAGCGCAGGGTTAATTATGGCATTGGCCCCGTCATTAACATTACATAGCAATTCCCATACAACTAATTTTGTACCTCACTTAAATACATTCTACAACGTGTGCTCATGTACTCATAGCAGAAGTCTTTTGGGCAAAATTTGTTTATCTGAAGAATTTTGGTAAATGTCAAGTTTTGGAAATATGAAGGATAAATACTGACAGTTGACATACTCCTTCTAGGGATGCCAGAGGTATGACCCCCTTCATGTCGGCTGTAAGTGGAAGAGCTTACCCTGCAGCTATAACTATTCTGGAAACTGCACAGAAAATAGCGAAAGGTTAGTAAACCGAAGAATCCTTTGCATTGTGCTATGTCATGTTTGATGGTAGTGCTACTTAAATGTATGTGACTACTGTGTAATTTTACTTTATAGCAGAAGCAAATGCCAATGAGAAAGAGGAGGATGTTTTCAAGGCCATGATTTGCCCACCTGGCACAAATGCAGATGACTCCCCACTATATGTTCTTTGCTGCAATGACACCTGCAGCTTCACATGGACTGGTGCTGAGCACATCAATCAGGTAACATCTGTTCAAATCAAACTCTTGGAGGGGAAAATTCTTAACCCTTACAATGGGGCTACCCCCACACTGCAAGAGTTAAATCCTTGTTTGTGTCTTCAAAAATGGTTGTACTCGTCTGATCCTCGGGAGCCAGCCAGCTCTTAGACCGAGCCCTTCTGCCTCGCTCCCCCTCCGCTGCAGCAGTCTAAGGATCCTTGAGTCATCATGTTATATACACGGTGTATAGGACATGAGGATGCTGAAGGACATACCATCGCTTCAGCGGGGTAGATGGGCTGGAGGGAGCACGGTTACAGTCGGCCGGCTCAGGAGTTTGGGTGACCGTTGGCATCTTTTAAAATATTATTTCCAGTGGCAGTCTTCAGGTGTCTGTTGGTAAAGGTTTGCTTTAAAACTTCTTCTCAACATCACAAGTCCCAGCTTATTATGCATGACCTTTTGGATAAACTATTGTAAAATGTTTTGTTGGGAAAACCTCTTTTAATCTTGTATGTGTCTCTGTTTTCAGGACATATTTGAATGCAGAACATGCGGTTTGTTGGAATCTCTCTGCTGTTGTACGGAGTGTGCCAGGGTATGCCACAAAGGACACGACTGCAAGTGAGTTCTACTATTTTTTATTCTGCCTTTTTGTGGGCAGCCTTTTGCGTGTGTTCTTCTTTTTTTTTAAATTTTTTTTTTATATAAAGTAAAAGTGAATTATCTCTTTTTCTTTTGTTAGGCTGAAGCGCACATCACCCACTGCCTACTGCGATTGCTGGGAGAAATGTAAATGCAAGACACTAATTGCAGGCCAAAAGTCTGCCCGTCTAGACCTTTTATACCGACTGCTGACCATCACTAATCTAGTGACAATGCCAAATAGCAGGTACTGCTCATTATTATTTTGTATTTATTTTAAGTAACAGACCTAGAATGAAATGCATTGTTGTTAATTCATTGCAAACCTTAGAAGAGAAAAAAAAGGTTTCCAGGTTTGGGCCCGCAGTGGGCCATTTATGTCCAGGGACAGGATAACTGTTCAAGCACAGCCAATCACTGGTTTATTTTTGCCTGGAGTTCAGTCCCTCAACATTCTCTGGCACCAAATACATGATAAAGGGCTGGTGTTTGTCCAATGACCCGGTGCTGGCTTAACCGCTACATAACCTGTGCTCAAGGTAATATGTTTAGCAGTTTCAGTGCCCTTAAATTGAGTGTTACGTAGTGTGACTTTTGGAATGGTGGCTGCTATGTGAGCAAACAGCTGTGTGTTTACAAAGGACTGGTGATGTAGCAAGGAGCCTGTGTTTCCATGTGTGTATCCATTGCCTGCCCTGTCACTAGTTTTATTTTGCCAAGACCCAGCCTAGTTCAATTTTTTTTTTTTTTTTTTTTTAAATTTTATTTTAAGGGGGAGCATCTTCTTCTGTTCCTCGTGCAGACAGTTGCCAGGCAGACCGTTGAACACTGTCAGTACAGACCTCCACGCATACGAGAAGATAGAAACCGCAAAGCAGCCAATCCTGAAGGTATGTTCTTGAGTTCAGCACTGGGCTTGATTTTTTAAAAATTTGAAACCAATAGTGGTTTGTGATATCAAATGGTCTCCTTTTGTTAAATATAAAAAAAGAAAAACTTCCACATTTTCTTACAAAAAAATCACCCTTGTCTTCCTCTAAATGTTTACATGGGGATGCAGCGGAACTAATAGGTATAAGCCATGTCTTTAGACGAAAAGGGACTTGGCTTAAAGGACCTCCCCTTGTGGGCTTGTATTCCTATGCACAGTAATAGATCAGATTTAACTTGGTATCTTTTAAAGTGTATTTCCCCTTTTACAGTCAAATTTGAGAAAACCCCCTATCTTTTAAATGTTTTGTTGCAGCATAGTTGATTCCAGGTTTTTCTCAGCACCTTCACAATAATCTGTCCTAATAGAAAGACTCGGGACTGAAATTTGATGATTGGGTTTCTTTTATAAACTTAATTAACATGTGAATGCCGGTGCCAGGGTTGTAATCTTTTAACCTGTTGTTAGGACAGGCATTGTTCAAATCTTACTGAAATGAGCCAGCACAGTACGGATAGGGTCAACGAACCCCTCGCATCCCCTCCTAACATTACAGAAAAGAAGCAAGCGGGGCATCCTTGAATTTCCGTGGGTGGAAATGGGCCAATTTAATACGCTTAAAGCTGTTCTCCAGGCCCCAGTTACCCCCACCCCTTACGAACTAATGGTCAATAATTTCAAATATTTGATCTAAAAGCACAAAATAATTGTGTGAATTTGTGGTTACATTGCGCTTTGGGTCCCACGTCCCTTTTAAGTGTTTGTCACTGCCTGGGTGATGTGGACCCATGGCTGTCCAGTGATGTGATCCTCTTGGGCTCCAAAAGATTTTAGTGGCATGATGTCATGACAAAGGCACAAGATTGCAGCAATGAATCAAGAGTCTTCTCTCCTTTTGGTTTTAAAGTTTTTATTTTTAAGGAAAAACAAAATGGTGAATGGGTAGGAGAAAGGGATGTTTACGTTGTCCCCGAAGGGGGGGGGGGGGGGGTGGAGGTTCTTACCCAAACCTCTTGGCTCTCCTGTACGTTAGGAGTTAAAGACTTTGTTATTGTTAGGGATGAGCTCAGGTTTGGGTCAAACCTGAACTCCTCTGGACCCTGAAGGAGCTCCTTCTGAACATGGAAGGAAGCTCCTCCCGTTCTTAATCTCATATGATAAAAAGACATCGCGAGCATCCCACCACTTTGTTTCCATGCAGCTGCAAGACGTGGAATGCTGGGCCCACAACTGATTGCACTTTGTTCGGAGGAGCTCCAGTTCGGACCGGGATCAGTCCTAACCTGAGCTCATCCCTACTGATCATAGGTCTCCAGGTTTTACGATTATGGTTTCCTAAACTTAATGGGCTGCATTTAAATTCAGGTTGGCGGAAAAGGGCTTTAGTCAAGGACAGTGCTTGAGAGACTAAACCTTAGGAGGCCCCTCCAGATATTTTTTAGATCTTGTTTGTGATGTGTGACATTTCTAATTTTCTCTTCTTGCATATGGGAAAATGATACAGCTTTTGTTCCAGATTCTGATATGCCAGATCATGATTTAGAACCCCCAAGATTTGCACAGCTTGCCCTGGAACGTGTCTTACAGGACTGGAATGCGCTTAAGTCCATGATCATGTTTGGCTCTCAGGAAAACAAAGACCCGTAAGTTGTTGTGGCGTGTAGTGTCTCAGGCTTTACTTGTAAGATGGCTTTACTAATGGTTGGTTTTATTTTCCTTCAGTCTGAGTGCCAGCAGTCGAATTGGTCACCTTCTCCCAGAAGAGCAGGTTTACTTGAATCAGCAGAGCGGTACCATTCGCCTTGACTGCTTCACGCACTGCCTTATTGTCAAGTGTACTGCTGATATCTTGGTAAGCATTAATGATTGTTACACTGGCCTTCTACTTGTTCTTCTGTACATTCAGTTTCCCTTCATATGTATGCATTTCTCTATCATCCATTGAGGAACACAGCTCTGAAGAAATCTGATACGTAATGCTGCTACCTGTAGGAGAAATAGACACTAGGCAAACAAAAATGAAAAGCCTTTAAGGATATAATCCTTCCCACCTACCAGTTTCGCTTCGTGTCCTCACAAGAATGTATTTTAGTTTATTTTGTTCAAATGAACCTATACTACTAAAAGCTACTTGTTGATTCATACCAGTTAAAAATCTTGTGAAGTTTTGCTAGCTAGTTGACCGGGCCTAGAGATTCACACCGGATAAGTTTAAATCCTGAAGTTTTATGAAGTTCTTGGAAAACAAAAGAGGGATTTTGTGTATTGATAAAGGGAACAACAGGACCATGGAGTCGTATATTAGGGATGCACCAATACTGTTTTTTTCGCCTAATACTCGCCGAACCTGGACGTCCAATTACGGAAGCTAGGCGACGTGTAATGACTCTCCACCCGACTTCCTGATTATCCGGGGGGGCGTGTAAAGACTTGCCACCCGGGTTGCCAATTGGCAGGAAGCCGTCTTCATGCTTCTCGTCACTAGGTGAGTAGAAAGCATGGAGCCGGCTTTCTGGCCAATCAGGAAGCCATGTGCCGTGTAATGACGCGACACCCTGCTTTCTAATTGGCTGGGAAGCCGGCTCCATGCTTCCTGGTCATGAGGTGACCAGGGAGCATGAAGCCGGCTTCCCAACCAATCAGAAAGCCGGGTGCCATGTCATTACACGCTGCCCGGCTTCCTGATTGGCCGGGAAGCTCTCATCACAAGCTCAAGTATCGGGCTAGATATCTGAGCATTTGGGCAAGTACGAGTACTCGCCCAAATACTCGGCATAAGTACCAATACTAGTGTCGGTGCACCCCTAATATTAATCATGAATTATACAGTGGATATGGAGATGGGTTTTGTTCCTTTTTTTTCTTATAGTGGCTGTGTAATTTTTACATTTATACGGTCTCCTCAATGGCGGTTTTTAGGCTGCTCAATTAAATGTTTTCAATGAGCACTGAAGCTGGACGAAAAGAAAAAAAGAGAACTGTGCGTGTCCAGCTTCAGTGCTCATTGAAATCATTTAATTGAGCAGCCTAAAAACCGCCATTGAGGAGACCGTATAAATGTAAAAATTACACAGCCACTATAAGAAAAAGAGAAGGAACAAAACCCATCTCCACTTCTAAGTCTGACAGATTCCTCCATCCACGCTAACAGCGTGGATGGACGAATTTCCTGCTGTGTCCTTTACATTCTGACAGCGACGCTTGAAACTGTCACAATACTGCTTAAAGCTGATTAGCTGCAAGCACTACCACCCAACAATTTTCTATAATTTACCTTGGCCAAAAGTCCATCGACTGGGTTGAATTTTTGCCGATGCCTGTTGAATTGGCTGATATTCGTTCCTTTACAGGTGCTGTCCTTGCTTTGGGGATTTATTGTGCCTTTTGTCAGTAACAACCCTGTAGTTTTCTTCACCCTCTGATCCTTTTCCTTTATTTTTGATTCCCAGTTGTATCTCTAAGCTCATTAAAGCTTTGCAAATTAGTTACAATCAGAGATGTTCTAATGCCTAAATTTCTCCAATAGCCTGAAGGATAATAGGGTGGGAAATGGTTACTGGCATGTACAACATGTATAAGAAAAAAAAATCCAAATGTGTTCAGTGATGTGTGTCTTGTTTTACAAGCTGCTGGACACATTGCTGGGGACGTTGGTAAAAGAACTTCAGAACAAGTACACTCCTGGACGTCGAGAGGAGGCGGTAGCTGTCACCATGCGGTTTCTGCGCTCTGTGGCTCGTGTCTTTGTTATACTCAGCGTTGAAATGGCTTCTTCCAAGAAGAAAAAGTATGTGTACCCTGATTCTAATTTTGTTTAGGCATCTTCTGGATATGGATACATACACTGTATTGATTCTAACCACTGTACTATTTGTTTCTTGCAGTAACTTCATTCCACAGCCAATAGGCAAATGCAAGAGAGTATTCCAAGCACTGCTTCCATATGCAGTAGAGGAGCTTTGTAATGTCGCAGAGTCACTCATTGTTCCAGTGAGAATGGGAATTGCCCGACCTACTGCACCCTTCACATTGGCCAGCACAAGCATTGACGCAATGCAGGGAAGCGAAGAACTGTTTTCTGTTGAGCCTCTCCCTCCAAGGCCATCATCTGACCAGTCTAGCAGGTAGGCACCTTTTTGTATTCTCCGCAAGTGCATATTTTGAGACTGTGGCCTTCAAATATCATTGAAGAACGTCACCAGCACACCAAATCAATTGACCATTTATTGACGTATGCTGTCTCTCGGTTGCAAACGCTTTCGGGGCCACGCAAGGTCCCCTTCATCGGGCTCAGAAATGACCGTGCACAAGTAACAGATCAACATTTAAATAGACATATCTAGACACAACGATTGTCTATTTAAATGTTGATCTGTTGTGCACTGTCATCTCTAAACCTAATGAAGGGCACCCTGCGTGGCCCCGAAAGCTCTTGCAACTGAGAGACGGCATACGTTAATAAACGAACACTTGATGCAGTCAATGGATTTGGTGTGCTGGTGACGTTCTTTGAATATCTACATGTGGCGGCACCATCCGCAGTCATTTCAAGCACCCGGCTGTCTATATGGGAATCCCGGTAAGGAGTGCAGCAAGTATCCTTCTTTTTTCTTCAAATATCTTCTTCACTTATGCTCACAGGTGCATGGGACACTAAATGGATTATTTAGAAATCTTTCCCTCAGTATGAAGGTTTCTGCTGACTGTCAGGCCATTTTCTGCCTGAAAAATTTCTGAGAATGTTTTCTGCAATTCGAGCAGATTTTGGCTGATCCTTGTGGACATGTTGCAGCATCACATTGGATACACTCTCTCATCTGGATCCGCTGCTGGTACCTTAACCTGGGATAACTGACCAGGTTGAATTTCACTTTGGTCTGCTGCATCTTCTAGGTACATTGAAGCCGAATAAAGTTTTGTTTTAGCTGACTATTGCTATTCTCAAAGAATTCTCTATTTCTATAAACGTTAAAAAAAATTGACCCCTGAGCCATTACAGTTTCGTGACCAATGCACTATTTGAAACTTAAATAAAGCCACTCTGTAAATCAATATGCTATGCACTTATCTTTCCAGTGGCCCATGTGATAAAACTGCTGTGTTGCTAATCTTCACACACTGCAAGTATCTGACATTTCTGGGTGTGTCAATTACCTGGTCACCCCCACTGCATGTTGTGGTTACTTGTGTCTGCTCCTGTGTCCTGCCGTGGGAGAAGCAGATATTTAAACATCCATAAGAGTTTTATCACAAAGGCCCCTGTAAAGCTAAGTATATAGCTTACCTTCGCTTTCACTGATGGGTTTTTATTTAGGTCCTACCCTTATATGGCCATGTCCACTTTAAAAAGCTTGTTATCCATGAATACCATTTTTTTTTTTTCCTTTTTTTGTGAAGCAACTCCCATTGCCAAAAAAAACCAAAACACATTTTCTGCAGAAAAGAATGCTTGATATATTTAGCTCTTTGAAAAGCCACAACTCTTTTGCCAGTTACACTGCCCCGGGAATCCTCAGAATCCAACACTTCTGGGTGTGTCCGATGCTTCTGTACCTTGCAATGCTCTATAACATGTACAGATCTCCTGCCACACTCCTTACAGGATATGCCAACTCAGGATGGGTGCTTGAAATGACCGTGGATGGTGCCGCCTGGATACAAACTTGCATGCAAAGTCACCAGCACACCGTAATATAGTCAAAGAATTGTCTGTCTATTGACGCTTATTGTCACTAATTAAGCGTAACGTTTCAGGGCCGCACAGGGTCCCCTTCATCAGGCTTATAATGACCTATTATCAACAATCATCATTGTGAGCCTGATGGCACTCTCTCTCCACTCAGTATTAGGAGAGAGACAGCAATGTGTATAGCTGATCTTTTTCTTAATTTTCGCTTTATTTGTTGTTTTAGTTCCAGTCAGTCACAGTCTTATATCATTAGAAATCCTCAGCAAAGAAGAATTAGCCAATCACAGCCTGTGAGAAGCAGGGATGAGGAACAGGATGATATTGTGTCTGCTGATGTGGAAGAGGTAATTTCAGGATCCTTTTGACTGTTCATTGGCTATTTTTTTTTTTTTTTTCTTATCTGATGTCTTTGGGCTTAATTTTTAGGTGGAAGTAGTAGAAGGAGTTGCTGGTGAGGAAGACCATCACGATGAGCAAGAGGAACATGGGGAAGAGAATGCTGAAGCTGAAGGACAACATGATGAGCATGACGAAGATGGTACAGTGCATTGTGTAGACCATAGTATTCAGCTGTATCGGCTTTTTGTCCAGTCAGTATACTGACATCAGTTGTGTTTCAGGGAGTGACATGGAGTTGGATCTTCTGGCAGCTGCTGAGACAGAAAGTGACAGTGAAAGCAATCACAGTAATCAGGACAATGCGAGTGGCCGCAGAAGTGTTGTTACAGCAGCAACTGCTGGCTCGGAAGCAGGTTGGTATTACTGACACTTGACTTGCTTTGTCTTTCGTTGATCTAGAACTAAGGGGGAAATCTTTGCCTTACAGGTGCCAGCAGTGTCCCGGCTTTCTTCTCTGAAGATGACTCTCAGTCTAATGACTCCAGTGACTCTGACAGCAGCAGTAGTCAGAGCGATGACCTTGACCAAGAGACGTTTATGATTGATGAGCCTTTGGAGAGGTCTACAAACAGCAACCATGCCAATGGTGCTGCACAGGCTCCCCGTTCTATGCAGTGGGCTGTGAGGAACACGCAGAATCAAAGAACTCCTAACACGGCTCCTTCTAGCACTTCCACCCCTGCAGGCAAGTCGCTGTCCTCCTTTTTTGCTTTTGGATGATTAGTGTTTTTTGGGTTTTTTTTTCTTTTGTGATCTACATTCAGTTGTCTTTTTTTTTTTTTTTTTTTTTTTCTTTCATGTTTGCCTTTATGACAGTCTTGCTAATCTGAGCACCAAAGATATAGGAACAAAATAATTATTCAAGCTTAATGTTAAAGAATGTTTTTTTTGTTTTTATGTTTTTCAGTAAATGTCTTCATATTGGCTTCTTATAATTAGCATAGTAGGACTGAAAGGGGGAGGGTCATCTGTGGCATCTACCATCAGTTTTTTTTTTTTTTTTTTTTTTTTTCTTCCATGTTTGCCTTTATGACAGTCTTGCTAATCTGAGCACCAAAGATATAGGAACAAAATAATTATTCAAGCTTAATGTTAAAGAATGTTTTTTTTGTTTTTATGTTTTTCAGTAAATGTCTTCATATTGGCTTCTTATAATTAGCATAGTAGGACTGAAAGGGGGAGGGTCATCTGTGGCAATTCATTCATTACCCCCAGTGCATTACTCAGTGCTTTACATTTTGCAGTTTGCTGATAGGGCAGTAGGTTTAAACAGCAAGCCTGGTTTAAAAAAAAAAAAAAAAAGGGAGATAGCCTGGAAAGGTCGCTCAGGTCCTGGGTTCCCTGAACCTAGGACCTGAAGACGTCCTGGGTTCAGGTCCTCTGAAGCTGAAGACGCATTCCAGACTGTTCTGGCAGGAAGTTAGCCACTGAGCACTTTCCAGTTTCAGAGCAGCTGGCATTGCCTATGTTCTTGTCTCGTCTCTGAAGACTTGCTTAGTGAGTGGGCCAAGCATCAGAAGCTACTTCAATTACTTATGTCACTGGTTGCCTATAAACATTCCTGTTCCCTGATGGATTCCACTGCAGAAGGGGTTGGAGCTGCGGGACACGGTGCTGACGTCATCCATGGGGTGGGTTGTTTCATTCTTCTGCCTTTTTAGCTAATGGGGTTTTTTTTTTTCCTACTACAGGTATGCAGGGATTTATGGTCCAAATTATTTTATTGACCCTCTTGGGTTTTCTAGACCAAGGTGTCATTGCCCCACTTCTGAGGCAGAACCATTTTATGGATTTTACTCTATCCTGTTCACCATTCCCTAACCCAAACTGGGCATTCTTCCCATGTTGGATCAAAAAACACTGAATATCTCCATTTGAGCTTAGAAATTGTCATTGCCTACCTCCAGAGACTTTTTGGCTTTTGTGGCTGCATAACTACATGTCCCCATCTTTCCTACACTTAACTGGGGGTCACTTATGCTACCAGTTTGTGGCCCTGCCCTTTGACTGCTTATCTGTACCAAGGGTGTTCACAAAGGTGCTGGCGGCAGTATTAGTCCTTCTGCATTCTTGTAGCATGGCAATTGTGTGATACTTAAATGATCCTCCGTTGAGAGAACAGTTGGTGTAGGCTCTGTTGGAAAATGCGACTTGGACTGGCTACATATTACAGTGCTTCAGGTACATACTGGAGCTTAAACAATTGTTGCTGAAAATTAATCATTTGGAGTATCTGGGCCTAGTCCTGGACACAGGGCAGGCCTGAGTGTTTCTTCCACAAGGGAAACTTCAAGACGCTCTGATCTCAGATTTGAGCTCTCCAGTCTAGTTGCTTTTGCATGAGAATCCCAGGTCTGATGGTAACCCTCTTCGAGGCAATTCTGTTTGCCTAGTTACTCCAGACTTATACAATGCAACATTCTGTCATTGTGGGACAAGACAGTCCAGTCGCTGGATTTGTTTTGCCATGGAGGACCTGGTTGTCCCTGGCTTTGTGTCTCAGGAATCCGGCTCTGAATAGGGGGGACTTGGTTGCCGAAGGAGTTTTGTCAGCAGGCAGTATAACCCAAAGTTGAAAGACTTATTAATGTGTCTCTCAGTGGAATGAAAATGATTTAAAAGATGGCACGTGATCATTAGTCATTACTGGAGACAAAACATAACTGTGGTGGGATACTTCTTGTATTGTAAACAGGCTTCTGCATTGTTCTAACACTTCTCATATGTTTTTATATTTCTCTCTAGCGAGTTCAGGAGCTCTGATTTACATTGAACCATCTAGTTTACGTCGAAGTGGAAACATAAGCTCTAGTGCAGCAGCCGCTCTTGAAGCCAGCAACTCCAGTAGCTACTTGACATCAGCAAGCAGCCTGGCAAGGGCTTATAGCATAGTTATTCGGCAGATATCGGACTTAATGGGACTCATCCCAAAGTACAACCATCTGGTTTACTCCCAGATTCCCGCTGCTGTAAAGCTGACTTACCAAGATGCAGTTAACTTGCAGGTATGGCATTATTTAGAACTGTAAGTACTTCTCATTGTAAGCGCATGTTCCTTGTTCTGACTTGTACGATTCTGATCTTTCAGAACTATGTGGAGGAGAAGCTTATTCCAACATGGAACTGGATGGTCAGTATAATGGACTCCACTGAAGCTCAGCTGCGTTATGGGTCTGCACTGTCTTCGGCTGGAGATCCGGGTCACCCGAACCACCCTCTTCATGCTTCTCAGAATCCCACCCGAAGAGAACGCATGACTGCCCGAGAAGAAGCCAGCCTGAGGACACTAGAAGGCAGAAGGTATTCTATATTCTGTATTACTGTCTGGTTAATGGAGTTCATTGACGTGCTATGAAGTGGCTTAAGAAAACACAGCTTGCACTGGACCCTGTGTAGTGAACTTTTGAAGGACACTAACAAGCGCTGCTGCTCTGATATGGCTCTTATTACTCTTATCTAATGGTACTAATATTGTACCACAGTCTGCTCCTTATATGTGTAAAGAGCTGCTGCTCTGAACACTTGTAAGGAACGAATTGTGTTTATTGGTACAACATTTTGCTTTGTTTGTCAGGTTCTGAATTTTTAATGTAAAGTTGCTTTTTCCTTCTAGAAGAGCCACCCTGTTAAGTGCCCGTCAAGGAATGTCTGCTCGTGGAGACTTTCTGAACTATGCGCTCTCACTAATGCGTTCTCACAATGATGAACACTCCGATGTGCTTCCAGTGTTGGATGTGTGTTCCCTGAAACACGTGGCCTATGTTTTCCAGGCTCTTATTTACTGGATCAAGGCAATGAACCAACAGACTACATTGGACACACCTCAGCTGGAGAGGAAAAGGTAAACTTTCACCTTTTTTTGCATAAACAATTCGTGCGTATGTAGTAAATGCTCCATATCTCTTTAACCCCTCCACTTGAAGTATTATAGAAGGCAGGGAGCTGTGGAAGCTTGCCAGTCATTTTGTGCAGTTTTTTTTTTTTCTTCTTATAGCTCATTTTTTGCTTTTAGATGGATAAACAAGAATTTCACATTGAGACAGTCATATTCTGCATTAACTAGGATTCTTGGATTAACTAGGATTCTTTCCCGTTCATCAAGGGACACGGGAATTCTGATGTGTTATACTTTGTCCTACAGGAGAAATATATGTTGACCAGCTCGAAATAACCCTGCCTACAACTATTATGTCTCCGTTTTTTAGTAATGTTTTCAGGAGAGTGGACGTGTCGTCTTAAGCTCTGCTGGTCTCTGTTCATTTGGAAGCTTTTTTTTGTATCAACATCTGTTTATAGATTCATGCCAGATATGTTAAATCCTGGAAGTCTCTCCAGTCAACCAATAAGCACTGGTAGATTCATGCTGCATCTGCTAAATCCACACAGTTGCTGGCTGTTGAAGCCCTGTTTTTTTTTTTTTTGGTCAGGCGCATCTCTGAATGTGTGTTTCAAGGAAACTAACAGCTAGGAATTCTATTTCCTGTAAGATCTATCATTGGACATGGAATGAATACTTTACTTTGTGAGAGTCTCGGAGCTTGCATACTAAGTAGTGCTTTGTGGGACAAATCTTTCTGCTGCTGGGTCTGGACCAGCATTGGACTCGGCACTTTCAAGTCTAGGGCCACATTTTAGTCTGTTCTATCTTGTTTTAGAGACAGTCTTTCACTCTTGAGTCCTTTAGTACAAGGAATCTCCCATATAGCTCCTCTGTTCATTCTCCAGTGACTCCATGGGATCTGAACCTGTTTCTCTTGTAGCCATCACCTCTGAGATGAGTGTCTGAACTGGTATCCTTATCCAGCAAGAAAACCTTTTTTTTGTTTTTGCATATGGAGTAGGTTGTGTGTTTTAAGACCAGGACTTTCCTTGTCAAAGGTAGTTCGTCTTTCTGTCTTTTCAGCCAGGACTTAGTTCTCCCATCCCTCCAGTGTGGCTTCAGTTTGCCAAAAATGTCCCCTGATTGTCTGGATGTTAAGATTGTGAGATTCTATCTCTCAGCCACTGCGTCATCAGGAATGCTGATTTCTATCCCTATTCTGGATGCCCCCCATAAGGGAACAGTGACTTGGTCTGTCTAAAACCCCTCGCGATAGATTATCATCCACACCTATGCTGTTAATGATCAGGTTGCACAATTTGCTGTGAAGACGTGCACACTCTGGAAGATCAGAAAGCGCTAATTTTCGGCGTCATTCTTTTTCCCCATTTTGCACGGCTACCACCTGGTCCATTTTTTGTTTTCAACTTCTACCAGGTAGATTTTCAGGCCTCATTTGATGCCGGCTTCAAGTTTTGGGTTCTGCAGTCAGTCCCCATGTTTCTTTTTCTTGGGCCTGTTAGTTTTTGTTATGTGGACTACCTAACAATCTAAAAATTCTTGGTGCCCTCAATGGATAAGAAATAAAATAGTATTTTTGTACGCACAATCCTTCTCTTGCTGTCCATTGGGACACAGGTCCCTCCCTTCTTTTTTTTCATATTCTCAGTATTGCTTTGCCGGGTGCTGGCGGGGGTGGGGTGCCTCTCAATGGAATCCATAAGATTTCTCGATGAGCACAGAAATTTTATTTTTAAAGAGTAACTCTGCCCAGATATTTCTCTGTTCTGGAGGTAATGGTGCAGATTTGATCCCTCACCAAGTCAATACGTTATCCAGGAACTTGAGGAAAAGGTTTCACTTCCTCCAGGACATAAAATCTGTATTACTAGCTCTTCTGATTCCATTATGTATTTCCATGTATAAAACGCACAGGTTAGTGATTAAGGTGACATTAGTGTTGAGAGCTCATTGGTTCTTCTGTAGAGGTTTGAGACCTGCATTAGATTGAACCGTTTGACGCACACACACACACTTCCGTTTGGTATCTCTGACAATATTGGGTTGAATTAAAGCTGAACTCTGGGCAGATCTAAAAGACAGAAATTACTGCAGCTCTGTATTACTGCATCATTAAATATATTTTTAAATGCAAATCGTTCTATGACCTGGTGCAAGTAAATTACTTGATACCAGCATCTTACAATCACCTTTACAGCTTGAGCGCAGACTGGGAGAGGGAGAAGCAGCATAAGGAGTTTACTTCTGCAGAAGTGCTCATGTGCTAAGTTGGAGCATATTATTAGAGAGCAGAGAGATGAGCTAATCAGTGTGCTGCTTCTTTCAATTTCCAGTCACAGGCCAAAGGAAGGGCCAGACCTGTAAGTGTTAACTGCAGGAGAGAAACATCAGGACTCCTGCCCTGCAAGACAGGGATGCACTGTGTGACAGAGCTGTATAAATCTAGGGAGTGGATGTACCGAATTACAAATTCTTTGGCAGATAAAACGGCTCTTATATGTATTTCATCTGTGTGCAATGCTGTTTTCCTAGAGTTCAGCTTTAATGCAGTTTTATCATTAATATAGAACTCGAGAGCTCCTGGAACTCGGCCTTGACAATGAAGATTCGGAGCATGAGAACGATGATGACACCAATCAGAGTTAGTACTTGTTTAATTTTAGCAAAGTCGTGTATTTATAGGAGGGTTTTATAGGATTTGTTGGCGCACTGATCTGTTTTTAATTTGCGTCTTCAGGACATTTTGATTAGTCCATCTCCAGCAATGTTGTCAGGTTATAATTTCTGTGTGGCATCATTGGGGAAATTTACTCACTTCCTGTTCCTGTGACCACCACTCAAGAAATGGGGGGGGGGGGGGCCGTTTCCACAG